TTAACCGAGGTGTTCGTTAAACGAGGGGTCACTGTATATATATATCTTGATAAAATCACTCGGGGAAAAGGGAAACAACGGAGCACCTTAGCTTTCGTCTTTATTCAAGACATCTTCAGAGGCAACTGGATTACATGGACAGAGAGAGTCTTAAATATACAGGGTGACCTTAAAAACATGAGGTCAGGTCATAATGATGTCATCCACTAATCCCCACACCAACACACACGTAGAGGAGCTTAAGAGAAGGGGGTGACGTGACTAGTCAGGTCAGGTCAAAAATAAGGGACCCACTAAATAACTATCATACATCTAGATCAAAGGTTTTTAAAGCATTTTTAAACTTGGGCCACTGACAAATAAATTTCTGTAACATATTATCAGTTTTGAAGTGACCATACTAAGGTTTATTGATTTTAATTCCTTAATCAAACTAGCTTCAACCAGAAGTCTTTCTGTGACACAAGATGATTTGAATACTTCAAAGCTTTTTTCCCAAGCAATGGGATGATTATTATTCCTAACATGAACGAACAGGGCACTGCTTTCAGATGCTGTTCTGATATTGTACTTATGTTGTTTGATTCTGAGCTGCAGTGTTTTTCCTGTCTGTCCTACATAATTACAATTACATTTGCTACATGGAATACAATAAACACTTCCATTTACATTCAAACTTGGGCTATTTCTTATTAACATATTGGTAATGGTTGAGTCATACTTGAAAACAACATTAATATTTAGTAGCTTGAGGGACCGAACTAACGGGACAAATTCATTACGATAGGGCAGAGTCAAAATATTCTTAAGTGTAGGAATTTGCCTGGTTTGAGAGGAATGAAAGGATTTTTTGGCCCTTTTAAAACAACGATCAACAAACACAGAAGGGTACCCGAGTTTCTGTGCAATGGAACGATTGTGTTTCAATTCATCGTCAATAAATTCCCTTTTCCCGTGTGATTTTATCAAGATTTATCTTATCCATGTTTTCATTGTGGATCTACCGTACATGAAATAAATATATATATATATATATATATATATATATATATATATATATATATATATATATATATATATATATATATATATATATATATATATATATATATATATACACACACACAGTGATATCCCCATTAGCCGCAACAATTAGTGCAGAGCACTTCCGAGAATGAGAGATTTCAGGGTAACGAGACAACTCTCAAAGCCGGAAAAAAATCCCTCATCCCCGGAATTTTCCGGGTAACGGAAAAATGTTCTCGGTAGTTCCAGAAATTGCCCATTACATCATCTCTCGAACCCAGAAAAATATCCCTCTTCCCTGGAATTTCCTGGGTAACGGAAAATTTTTCTCAGAAATTCCAGAAAATGCACCTGGTTTTCATCTCTCAAACCAGGAAAAAAACTCCCCCATCCCCGGAATTTTCTGGGTATTGGAAAAATTTTCTTGGAATTTTCCGGAAAATGTGCCCCTAGTAAAATCGTTCCCACAGCCGGAATTTTTCCCAAAATTACGGCTTTGAGAACCAATTTCCGAGAAAATTTCAACTCCGGTTATCGGAGAGTTCCCAGTTTGAGGGATTCCAGCTAATGGATATATATATATATGCTGATAACCACAAGGAAAGAAGAAAACACAAAGTTCCCAAGAACTTTCGTGTAATTCACATCTTCAGGGGTGAGTACAGACTAAGGAGAAGTACAAAACAAGGTGCATACCGTATATCACGGCCTATAAGGCGGCGGGGTGCATAAGACGCCCCCCCCAAATTTCCATTTAAAAAGTAGCTTTTGAGCTCTATTTGCTGTATAAGACCAGTACCCCAAATGTGACACTTACCCACTGACTCAGTAGTCCTTTACCAACCATCCTTGATTTTTTAAAATAAGGCCAATTCACTTCAAGTAATGTCATCAAATTATACCCGCTGGTGTAGTGTAAACACTAGTGACGTCACTGAAGCGTGGTGGGAGTGTTCCCTCGTCTGGGTGGTGTGACTATTTATACAACATGTAGTTCAACAGCAACCACCGTATTCTAATTGTGATGTTTCATTAGGATTTGAGTGAAAAAGGTTACCAGTATGTACTTACTACATACATTTATTACACAAATATATATATATATATATATATATATATATATATATATATATATATATATATATATATATATATATATATATATATATATATATATATATATATATATATATACTGAATATACTATGTACAAAAAATGAATGTTCAATGAATTATTTATGGTGCATTAGGGTACTGGTCACTTCTGATGGGCTATAAATAGCTTTTTATCTCCCCTCCATCTCACCCTGAGCCAGACGGAAGGGTCTTGGTAAATAACATGTTTGCTTATTTTCCATTTACTTTAAATAGATTTACTGAATTATTTGTTTTATTTATTTATTTATAATATACTGTAATATATTAAACACACTGTAATTATTTTCTTTAATTTATAAACTGTTTTGCGACAAAGGAATGTTCTCCAGTAGTGTTTCATTAGGATTTGAGTGAAAAAATATTACGTACTTACACAATTGTTCCTCTTACTTTTACAACACAACATACATACAGTATATTATTTCTCAGTTTTGATCTTTTTTTTTAATTTTTGTATTTATTTATAGTTAGTTACTTAAAATAAGGCCAATTCACTTCAAGTAATGGCATCAAATATTACCAGCTGGTGTAGTGTAAACACTAGTGACGTCACTTGAGCGTCTGTAATTAACCGTCGATAGTTTCAAGAATTAATGCACTTTTCCTTTCTTGTCTCCTCACTGGCAAATGGGGGGGGCGTGGGGAGGGGTGTGTGATGATAGCTGTGTTTATTACAGGGGTATAAATCTCTTTTACGGTATGTTAGACAGGTTTATAATACATTTTTATTATTTTAATATACCGGTAATCTTAATTTGAATCCAGCTTGCCAAACGTAAGTTTCAGTATAAAATAATTAGTGGTAAGACCTTGTGAGTGGCTTATGATGTTTTCATCACACTCTTGACACACTAAACCACAATATTTAAGAGGTAAGAATTTTAAACTTGGTGGTTTAGACGACCCCCTAACTTTGGGCAGATTTTTTTAATGTTCAAATTTCGTCTTATAGGCCGTGATATACGTAACTTTTTTGTGTAAGTGATAACAGCTTTTAATTAAGACAGGCAAATGATTTGTGTTAATATCCCTTATGATGGTTGTGTAATCTCATATATAGGTGCGTATGCCGTATAAGCAAAATCGCTATTTTTCAAATTGCTGGTGCTCACTCAAATATGCATGAATCCTCAAAAAATTGCACATGGGTATTTTTTATGTCAATATGCAACACCAAAATTTTGAACAGCATTGTAGGACAAAGCTGGGGCAACTGTCACACCCTACCCAACATCACCCACACGCCCCGAACATCACCCACACACCCCAACATCACCCACACACCCCGAACATCACCCACACCCTTAACATCACCCACACGCCTTAACATCACACCACACCCCAACATCACCCACACACCCCAACATCACCCACACACCTTAACATCACCCACACACCTTTAACATCACCCACACACCCCTAACATCGCCCACACACCCCTAACATCACCCACACACCTCAACATCACCCACACACCTTAACATCACCCACACACCTAACATCACTCCACACACCCCGAACATCACCCACACACCCTAACATCACCCACACACCAACATCACAACACACCCCAAACATCACCCACACAATTCAACATCACCCACACACCAACATCACACACACACCCAACATCACCCACACACCCCAAACATCACCCACACACCCCAAACATCACCCACACACCAACATCACCCACACCCAACATCACACACACACTTCAACATCACAGCGCGCCAACATCACACTCCACACGCCTCGAACATTACACACAAAACACACACGCCGAACATCACACAAAACACACACTCGAACATCACACACGCCCGAACATCACACACACACACACACCTGGAATATCACACCTCGAACATTGCACACACGCACACACACACACACACGACACGCAAGCACGCATGCACGCCACACACACACACACACACACACACACACACACACACACACACACACACACACACACACACACCAGGAACCGGAAAAGATTCCGGGGATTTTCCGGGTTTGGGAAAGTCGTCTGGTTCCCTGAAAAACTCATTCCCGAAAGTGCTCTGCACTTGTTGTTATGGCTAACGGGGATATCACTTATATACAGTATGTGTAAACGCTTTCTGAGGGTTTAAAGGTTAATCAGACTCTTCACGTTAAAGTCGAACGTTATAATTCGGTCAAACCTGTTGAATACAATTCATTTTAGTATTTCAAATAAATCATACATAGGCAATCATACATAAGTGTTTAATCCAATATATATTTACATAACATTCATAGCTATGTAATTAGTCTAATCTTAACACTTACTATGAGTACTTAATTTGCCATATTTTATGTTGTCACAATGATAAACGATGCAATGGACACAGTCTACCTGTGTACACAATAAGTACCAGTTAAACTTACGTGTTGAAAGTCTCAAGAGAAACCAGGTTAGTTGTTGCCTCTATGAACTGAATAAACTACAGAGGAACCAGGTTAGGTGTTGCCTCTATGATATAGATAACTACAGTGCCAGCCTGGTCGCCTGCCCAGTGCCCAACCCTCGCTGGTAGGCGTGGGGTGAGTCAGGTGATTATACATAAACAAGCTCCCCTTACACACTCCAACCTCCTCTGGGTCTCTCATCTTCCATCATCTCAATACTCTATATACTGTATACGGGCAGGCACACCCAATAAACATGACATGACTTACAGTCTAACATAATGTTTGTTTGTCATCCTACTCATTACTGCTTGCTGTAACAGTATGTATAAACCTAGATGGTATTACCCCCATTTATCTTTGAAACTCTACTTTTCCAGATCAAGAATATGCCACCCAAAGGTTCCTGTCAGCTGTAGGTGAATATAATGCCTTTGAAGAAGGAGGTAAGCTATACATTTATATTTATAAATTTATACTGTATCTGAATTGAGCAATGCTTCTTTGTCAACAAGTCTGTAGGCTGAATAACTCCAGACCCCAGAGTTCTGGGGTCTAAAAATCAAATAAATTTAAATATTAGAAAATCCTTCATCCCAGGGTACTGAAGGAGAAGACTTAAAATTTTAACTGTTAAGCAGAACAAATGAGGTTTCACTCCATTCATAATGTTTGTTGACATCAATTACAGAATGCTCAAACCAGATCTACTGCCTCAGAATACAGTACAGACATCCCCGGGTTGTGGAAGGGTTCCATTCCAGAAAAGCTTTCTGTAGTGCAAAACCATTTTTCCCACATACAGGTAACCCCTATGATACGATGGAGTTACGTTCCTGAAAAACCCATCGCTAGGTGAAATATCGTAGATAAGGAGCATTATAACATGGGGTTCAATGGGATATGTTCCCAGCCAGCCCCCAAACACACATGTATCACAGACAAAATAATTCCTACAATACTACAAAATAAACAACACTCTCCACATCATAATGGACAAGTTTGGTCATCATCACATGTCCCCTTCGAGCCCTTATAGGTGGAGTGGAGACGTCACTCTGTCTCCCACACAGCCTCTGGGGAGTCTCATGCTGCTTTACAATATCAAGCTTCATCTCAGAGACACAGTTGTCTTGGATGCCTTGGCTCACTTCACAGTTACAAAAACAGAGTGAATGATGATAACAAAAACAATGATAGCGGCCTACACTGCTCACATTTTCAAAACAACAGCGACAACGCACCTTACAGTCACAAAAACACAGAAAATATCGCTTCACAGTCACCATAACAGTTTAATCTAAATGTTAGTGCTGTCTTCTTACTGTGCAGTAGGATCTCAAGTTTAGCAAGCTTTAGATTCGCGTTTCATGTGTTTCGCTGCACTTAAAATTTCTAGCCTCTCAAGAATAACTATTTTCATTACCGGTTTCGCGAGTCAAGGGAGAGCGGGCAGAGGGCATTGTCGGGGTCCTTTTGTTATCCTCCGTGTTTTTTATTTACAGTAGTTAATTTGAATGAGTGAGCAGTGCAGTGACCTTGGATTATATAACCCATTGTGCCTATGTTTTGCGAGATTCTTGTGCACAATTAACGATTCTTGTGTATTAACAATGAGTGAGGTGCGTAATGTAAATGTCAGGAGCGGTTTTGGTGGTATTGATGGCCGTAGAGAAGGTGAAGGCGACGGTCACCGTTGTCCACAAGGAAAACCCTATGCCAAACGTGACTACAGTGGTCCCTCGGTTAACGAGCACAATTCGTTCCAGAAGGTTGCTCGTTAACCGAAAATTTCGTTAACCGAAACCATTGTTTCAATGCGTTTTTGGGCAATTGGTTCCAGCTCACCGAAAATTATATACAAACTAAAAATAAATGCAGTAAAGTACAGTACACTTACTTTGAGGTGTGCATGTAGAAGGCTCCTGGTTGATGATGATGATGATGGGAATTAGAATGGGGGTGGAGGAGATGGGAGAAGAGAAGGCATTGGGGTGGAAGAGAAGTCACCCCATGCTGCCATTTCACCCATAAAATTTTAGTTCACTTGGTTTAATTCAAGATTATTTTCTTTAAATCAACAATGCACTGCGCTATATATTATCAATATGTAAAATATATTTCGAAATGACCGATAATTTGACTGGAAACACAGAAAAAAAGCTTTTATGTTGAAGAGTTTCAAACAAGATGTTCCTTCCTCTGAACTGGTAAACAAACTGACGCCAAGCTTGGTGTGTTGAGTGGCTGTTTGGCATGCAAAAAAATAGTTTCTTGTACTTCAATTATGTTCAATAATTGTTAAAATGACTAAAAAAATTAATATAAAACCTTTAAAATTATTGAATAGTACAACCTTCTTGATATTTACTAAAATGGTAAGGAATTTAAGCCCTAAAACCGATTACTGTATTGGTGGACTAATACTACAGCTGGTGGGCAGCCAATTGCAGGCGAAAATATGTTGGGAAAAATTCGTAAGGAATTCGATAACCGAGGGTTTCCGCGTTAACCGAAGTGAAGAATCTTATGGAAGGTAATTCGTTAACCATGGCGCTCGTTACCGAGTGATCACTGTACTGTACGGAGGTCAAGAAGAGGAAATGCCCTGGAAATGAAACGAGAGATGCTTGAGGTGATCAAAACTAGCGCTCGTACCTAAGAAATCATGCTTAGGTTCAACTGCCATGAATCTATCATACGTTCCCTTAAGAAGAACAAGGAAGCCTTAACTACTACTGTGAACATATTCTCAAGATTTTTTACTAACAGGACATTCTCTGATACTTAACAACGAAACCTACTGATTGTTATCACAGAACATTACCTTCACAAGTGGGTGGAAAGAAGAAACCGTGAGCAGGGCGACCTGTCTTGGCCACAGATAAGGCATCAAGCACGTGTTTATTATGCTGAAGTTGCACAGAAGAAATTCATTAACTCTCCACCACTATTCAAAGCTTCTGTTGGTTGATTAACTGCTTTTAAAAAGTGTTATTAAGTCAAGTTTGCCCACTACCATGGGGAAAGTACATCGACTGATATCGTAGTAGCAGAGAAATATCTATCTGTCTCTCAAGCTCTTGTGAAAGAGGGTGGTTATTGCCGAGACCAGATCTTCAATTGTGAGGAAACTGTTATTTTCTGGAAGCGCTCCCCTAAGACCACTTTCATTGCCAAAGATGAAAAACAGGCAAGGGGTGTAAAGACTTCAAAGGACAGGATTACAGTTTTATTCACAACTAATGCAAGTGGAAATTTCTTGATGAAACCCCTGGTTGTTTACCGTGCTGTCCATCCTAGAGCTTACCGTTATGTCAATATGTCGCAGCTCAATGTTTATTGGATGTCTAATAAGAAAGCTTGGGTTACAACGTCTTTTTGCACCGATTGGTTTGACAAGCACTTTGTTCCTGACGCCCAACAGCACTCCCGGAGGAAGAACATTGACTTCAAAGTGATCCTGGTGATGGATAATGCTCCTTGACACACTGAAGTTTCTAATTGGTTATTACCTAAATGTTCAAGTTATCTTCCTTCCTCCTAACACCACATCACTTTTGCAGCCACTTGATCATGAATACATCAATAATGTTAAACTGTTCTACTATCAGTCACTCTATTAAGACTTTCGTCAGCAGACAGACTCATTAGTTGAGTTACAACAAATCGAGGCAGAACTCGACAGTGACCAGGCTCTACCAGCTAACCAGGAGGAGGAGGAGATGGTAGAAAACCCGACTCTTAGTACCTCACACACACCACCCAGCAACCGTAAAGTGTTATCAGTTTATGAATTTTGGAAGAAATATAATATTAAAAATGCAGTGGCCAGAATGGTTGAGGCATGGCGTAAGATTAATTTTGCAACAGTGCTACACGCATGGAAGCCTTTGTTCGCTAACCTCGAGGTAAGTGGGGCAGAACAGGCCGAGGCAAGCAGGGAGAGGCAGTCTGTGGCGGCAACACTAATGGACATGGTGGAGGCAACGCAGTCAGTCCCATAACCGGGATTTGGGGATGTTCAAGTTGAAGATTTGCAAGAAATCATTGGTTAACGCCAACAGCAACTGAAAATTTAAGAAATGTTGGAGGACGATGATATACAAGAACAGCAACCAACACAAGAGGATGATGTTAAGCCTGGTGAACCTACAACATGCCAACTGACTGAGGTGCTCACAAGCATCGCATATCTCAGTGAACAGCTACAAGAATACAAGATGAGGCCTCATCCTCGGCACCTTATCTTCCCTGTCCTTGATAAGGTTATGGAGGAATATAAGGCCTTGTACATGTTCTGTGTTAATGCTCATCAGCAGGCCCTTATTACTCAGTACCTGTGCAAGGCCCAGCCTGTTAATGCCTTGGCAAACATCACTTTAGGAGATAATGATGATATTGAAGTGTTGGGTGACCTACTGGTGGGAGAGCTAACTCAAGACTTTGAGGGATTTGATGCTGAGGTTAGATGAGGTGTAGATGAGGGAGTAGGGAGGGAGCAGTAACCAGCCCTCCCTGCCTCGGGACCCATCAACCAGCCCCGTCAAGCATTTCACTGACTCCATCAAAGTAAGTTATTCTACAGTATTAGTGTATATAAATATTGGTATCAACAATATGTACAATATAAATATGTATGAATACATTACAGTACTGTAATGTCATTTTCTGGGTGGTTTGTAAGTCGTTATGGGGGGTTCAGGTGACAGACCGCGGAACCGATTAGGCTTATTTACATGTACAGTAATACCCCGCTTTACGCGTTTCTACATTTACGCGGTACCCTGCCGGAACCGGAATTCCCACTTTTCGCGGTGCATCTACTCTTATACGCGGGTGAAGTATAATTTTTTTATTTAGCTCATAAAATTCATACAAATTACCTGGCCAGAATATAATTTACATTGCTGGAATTCTTACAATTTAATGATCATTTTGAATATAAACATCATAGATTTTGCATTAGACATACAAATTTTAGATCTAATGTAAGAATTTTGTTTACTCAGAGCAAATATGTTATCTTTTGTGCAAAATATATGACGTGTATATTCAAAATATTCCTGGTCTTGCAAGGAATCCAGCAATGTCAATTATATTATCCTAACTTTCGTCTGAGGTATTATTTATTACTAAAAATGTAAATATACTGTTATAACCCAAACATTTCTCTGGTAGGGAGGGAGGGACCCAGCGAGCGTGGGAAGAGGGGGGGGGAGCAGGAGGTGGGGTATTTTGATTGACAGATAGTGTTTGGGTAAATATATTTTTTTTATTTACTGAAGATATTTGATTCAGCTCACAAAATTCATACAAATTACCCGGCCAGAATATGATTTACATTGCTGGAACTCTTACGATTTGATGATCATTTTGAATATAAACATCATAGATTTTGCATTAGACACAAATTTTAGATCTAATGTAAGAATTTTTTTTACTCAGAGCAAATATGTTATCTTTTGTGCAAAATATATGACGTGTATATATTCAAAATATTCCTGGTCTTGCAAGGAATCCAGCAATGCCAATTATATTATCCTAACTTTAGTTTGAGGTATTATTTATTACTATACCTTAAAATCTAGTGCTTTCACCCAAACATTTGTCAGAGAGGGAGGAGCCAGCAAGCGTGGGAAGAGGGGGGGGAGGGGAGTTGAGTCCATTATTTGAATGGACATTAACCTGGTGATCGTATTTCAATTAAATATTAATTGTGTGTGCGTACCATCATAAAATTAAGATGCTATTTTTACTAGAACATAGGTATTGTGTCGGAAAAAGTGGAGTTTGGGAGTCGGCCCAGTCTCTATTTCATTTAATCCCATATGTTCTGTTATTCCATTTATGCATTTCTCATTTTACATGGACCACTGTGGGTTCAATTGACCGCGTAAATCGGGGTATTACTGTATTGTATTTCAACGCTGCTTGTTTGGCGATTTTGAATTTCGCGAAGTTGAAACCAGTACCAATTACTCGCTAAACTTGAGATCCTACTGTATAAAAAAGAAAATGCTGATGATGAGTACAATGTACAATGCTGGTCAATAATCGTGGAGCCATTTGATGGCTGGTTTATGATCGACAATAAACCAGACACAGGGCTGTAGTGCGTGGATTGGCCATGTGGCGGCATGTGGGTAGGCTGACAAGTGAAGGTAGAAATACGCGGTGCATAGGGTGAAATATTGTTTCCTTATAAAATGTCACTGACTTGACTTAGAAAAATATAACCTGCATTGCTAGAATCCTTGCAAGATGGCAATTAATTTGAGTAAAAACACCCCATAGTTTGCACTAGAGATTTTTTTTCCCAGCCAACGTAATCGATGGATATCGTTAAAGCGAGTTGTTTTGATCGTATATAGTGAAATGCAGTCCTACTTAAAATTTTTGAGGCACAAAAACATGACACAAGCATATATGTGTGAAATCAGATCGTTTTAACCACATACAATAAGTCATTCATGATGTAAAATGATAATTAATGAACAAAACACTAAAATTTTACTTACCAGAATCGATGTTGAGTGTTGCAGGAAGCGGTGAGGTGAGGTTGTGGGATCAGAGTTACTGGGAGTTACCTCCATAAAACATCAAGTTTAATGTCCAATACAATTACTATATGGAATCTTTTATCACCACTGCTTTCACTTGATGGTCTCCTTCCACTCATCTTGAATAAAAATACACAATACAATAAATACAGTATAGAAAACTGAGGGAAAGCAGACCATTGGCTGGAGATTACAAACAGACCGAAGCCGTTTTTGTTGTTGTGGGATCACTGGTGCCTTTTTTACTGCCACAGATGCATCCACGCTAAATAAGTTTTACGATTTATTTTTTTTTATTGAAAAAAAAAATCGAACTTCCGTAAGTGCATTTTGTTTTTGTTTTTTTGGTGTAACCTGAAATTCTGGTCGAATTTAACATTTCTGTAAGGGCAAAATTTCATAACCTGTGGATGCCTGTACTGCCAAGCCTTGAGCTTATTCAATGTATAGTTGCCCAAAGGTGTAGTGTTCCACCCCTCAGTGGCCTTTCCGAACATGAGGCCAACAATATATTTTTTGGGGTAATATACAGCATTCAAGATTTGTGCTTTATGATATGATAGATATAATATTTGTAAAGAAGGTTCAACTGTGATTCCAACGGTGCCTCATGTTCGGTTTGGCCACCGAGGGGTGGAACACTATACTGTACAGTACCTGTGGGCATCTGTACCATCTCTGCCCTGACCAGGTGGAGGGCCAATGCTCTTATAGTTTTAGACATTTTACATAAGGTGTGCAGAGTAGTCTCATCCAACATGGGGTAGGTCCTTGTAAATGGCATGTGGGAGAAATTTGCATTGGGCACACTTAATATCTTATTGGAGAAATAGGTTTAGGAAAAATAAATGTAGAATATAGCATATTTAGATCTCTATCTAATAATAATCGTACGTTGAAGGCCAGTACAGTACATACCTTGTACAGCAACAAAGAACATCAACACTTCTAAGACATGAAACGAGATTGTGCTGAGAGATGTGAAGTAAAATGATAGGATGAAGGTTTAACATACTTTGTGTGTATGGGTGGAAAAAGTTATCCATTACATATTTGTAGCCATTCTTAATACAGTGTGACACACTCAAAAGTACCTAGAACTATTGTACTCTGTAAAATATTATTTGTGGTAATCTCTCTCTCTCTCTCTTTTTTTTTTTTGGGAGGGGGGGGTATAGGTAAGTGGTGTGTGTAATTCCCATTACATTACAGGGGTAAATTGTGATATTTACAGTTTGTTGGTTTTGTCAGGGAGTCACAAAACTGATAGATTGGTGAAGATATACAGTACCTCTGTAGAGACACTTACAATTGTCTGGTATCAGGTGAAATTAATTCTATAAATTTTATTTGCAGAAGATGAGTTCAATCACAATGCCACTCTGTTGCTGATAGAATGTGTCCGTGATCGTTATGAGAAGTTCTGTTCATCAAGACAAGAAAGAAACCAAGTGTATATGGAGATCCAGGAAGAACTGCGGTCATATTCCTATAATTTTTCCCTAGAAAAGATCCGCACTAAGTGGAATAGTCTCATTACCACCTATAAAAGAATTAAAGATCGCCACAAGACTGGAGGCATTGGTCTTGGAAAACGACTGTGGGATTACTTTCAGGCATGTGTACCAATCTTTTTCTTTCTACTGTTACACAGAGATTGAAGTGTTGGCCTCTGTTACTAAAGCCATAGTTTGACAGTTTTATTTAAAGGGAGGCTGGTTAAATAGAAGTACTGTACCTGTATATGCAAGAAAACAAGTAAGCTCTCTCTCATAGATACATAAAGAATACAAATTATTTGATCGCTGTAATGTTCTTGTTTATTTAATCACACACACACACACACTACTACTACTACTACTACTACTACTACTACTACTACTACTACTACTACTACTACTACTACTACTACTACTACTACTGTACTTTGCTGTCACTCGGAATCAAGTATGACTATCATCCAGCTATGATAAAGTGATATGAGTTATTAAGCATGTCACCTTCGTTGGTGAGCTCTGATGTGAGTAAAGAGGCCAATACGGGACCGGCAGAGTAGTTCACAGATGTTGCACATGTGGAGGGCTTCATCTAGTGTTGGCTCTTGTCTGCCTCGGTTTGCAGTCAGGCTAATTCGAAAGTATTGACACCTTGTGTGATGCTCCTCCAAGTGTGACGGTGTGGAGTAATCGTCTCCCAGGTGAAGGGGTCGATTTGGCACTTTTTCAGGTTTGTCTTAAGACTATCCTTATACCTTTTCAGTTGCCCACCAGCGTTATGTTTACTATTCGTTAGGTGACTGTAAAGTACCTGCTTTAGCAGTCTACTGTCGTCGATGCGGGTAACATGGCTAGTCCAACGACGTTGTTCAAGGATAATGGTAGCCTCGATGCTCCTACAGTTGGTATCAGCAAGAATACAGTATTGGCATTTGTTCTCCTGTCTTCCCAGCGAACTCGGAGGATGGAACGTAGACTATGTTGGTGAAAGTTTTCAAGTGCACTAAGGTGCCTCCTGTATGTGACCCATGTTTCGCTGCCAAATAGCAGGGTGGGGAGGACCATTGCTCGATGTATATGCAACTTTGTAGATAATTTCAGCTCCCTACAGCTGAAGACACGGGTACGGAGTCTGTAAAAGGCTCGAGATGCACATCTGATCTGATGTTGAATCTCTTCATCAATGTCCGTAGTGGTGGACAGTTGGGAGCTGAGATACTGAAAGTGCGTAACATTAGAGAGGGCAGTACCGTTAAGCTGGATGAATGGTGGAGGTGTGTCTGAAACAGGAGCAGGTTAAAAGAATATCTGAGTCTTACATACATTCACCTAAAGGCCGAAGTGTGCATAAGCATCTGCGTAGGTGTTCAGGATCTCCTGTAGATCGAGCGACAAGGGTGAGGATGTCTGCATACTGAAGTTCAGTAATGGAAGCAGCGGACACCTTTGTTCCTGCCTGGAATCATGTTGAAAAGACCCTTCATCCAGTACTGGATCTCCACCCTGCCGACTAAATTGGCACTGGCATGAGTAAGGAAGGCAGCCAAGAAAATGGAAAAGAGGGTTGGTGCCAGTACGCATCCTTGTTTTACCCCTGTTTGGATGGGGAAGAATTCAGACCGGGTGCCATTTTGCAGGACACTGCCGTTCATGCCATCGTGGAGTTGCCTCACAATGGTAATTAATTTTGGTTGGCAGCCAAATCGGCTGAGGGTCTGCCAAAGGGCTTCCCTGTTGATCGAGATGAAGGTCTTGGTTAGGTCATGTACAGGTCACGGCACTGTTCTGTGCACTTTTCCTGTATCTGGCTGGCAGCAAAGATCATGTCAGTGGTGACACGTGATGGTCCAAATCCACATTGAGATTCTGGGAGGAAGCTTTCTGCCTCAGGAAGAAGTCTGTTTAGGAGGACTCAGGCGTTAACCTTGCCAGCTACAGACAGTGGCGAGATCCCGCGGTAGTTGCCACAGTCTGACCGGTCTCCCTTGTTCTTATAAATATTGATGATGGAGGTGTCTTTAAGAGTTTGGGGGATTTCCTCCTTTTCCCATATATTCTCCAGAAGAGAGTGGAGATGGCTGGTAAGCAGAGGTCCTCCTGCTTTATACACCTCAACTGAGATTCCATCAGGCCCTGAGGCTTTGTTATTTTTCATCTGTTTGACGGTAGTAGCTACCTCATCCAGGGATGGTGGATAGCTGAGGTGGGTCAGCTTTGGATGCTGAGGGACCTGCTGGGTAGTCAGGACATCCACATCAGTGTTTCGATTGAGCAGCGAATGGTAGTGCTCTTTCCAGTGCTGAAGGATGCCTTCTTCGTCTTTAATTAGGGAGTTACTGTCGGAGGAGCGGAGGGGGGCTGTGCCATAAGTGATTGGCCCATAAAATGTTTAAGTGGAATTGAAAAATTTGTGCATCTGGTGTTGATCAGCAAGTTTTTGTGTTTCATATGCTTTATTTTTAAACCAGTCGTTCTTTAGCTTACGATGTTTGCACTGCGCTGCCACTTTCTTCTTGCGGAAGATATCAGCTTTGGTCCAAGACTGGAGGTTGTTCTGCCAGTCAGTTAAAGCAGCACATTTATCATTGACGAGTGCATTGATTTCCAGGTCATTTTCATCAAACCAGTCCTGGTGTATTCTTTAAATCTGGCCGAGGGCCTCTCTGCAGGTTTTTGTCATGACAGTGTCGAGAATACCCCATTTGGCATTGGGATTTGGATTGTTTGTTGTCGGGTTGTTTATCAGTCCATGTTCGAACTGCTCTCTGGAGGCTTGTTGCCTTCACCGTTTTGGAGCGATGTGAAGTGAGAGCTTGGATCTGACGAGTCAATGATCAGTGTCACAATGGGCTGAGCCACGCAAGGCTCGGGTGATGAGGACATCTCGGCGATCTCTTTCTCTGACAATAATGTAATCAATGAGATGCCAGTGTTTGAATCGTGGGTGTTGCCACGAACCCTTGAACTTGTTGGCTTGCCTAAACAAGGTACTGGGGGCTCCCAAATTCGCGGGGGTTAGGTTCTCAAAATGGCTGCGAATAGCATTTGCTGACCGTGGGGTACATTTTTACTTGTGTACAAAGAAATGTATATTCTCTTTATGTGTTTGCCCTTAGGACAATTATTTATTTTACCTGTATTGTATATACAGTAAAAGTCCAAAAATCCGGATACCAGAAATCCGGACCACCCGAAAATCCGGACTTTTAAAAAACGATTTTTTTTTTTTTTTTAGCGAGCTTTTGTGTGTATGTGCACATGCGTGATCGCCACAGCTGCACAGCGACAACAAGCGACCACGTGGTCACCACTTTAAAACGAGCAATCAAACTGTGACAACATACCGTATATACTCGTCTATAACCCCCTCGTTTATCAGTCAACCCTGATTTTTTGACCAAGAAATCGTTAATTTATGATATTCCTCGTTTATAGTTTGACCCACGTTTTTGAAGATAATGGAACAACAAAACCTTCAGTAAAAAGGCTCTACGTCCTATAAACTGAGGCTCACCGTGCATGAAACACAAGTGCTGAAGGCAAATTGTTTACCATTTATTATTACGACACTTTACACTGAAACGCGGGTAGTTTCAACAAAAATATTGTATGTTTCCATTCAAGTATTTATTCAAGTCAATTAGGAGGGAATATTATTGAACTACAACAGTTTTTAAACTAAACCGTTCGAAATGCGATTACGGTAACATCTTTTGAACGAAAGGAAGCGAAAGTCATTGTTTTCGTCACGATTTTATCCCACTTTCCACTGTAATACGTATGTAATTTCAGGAAAAATATTACATTTCCGTGAATGTATTATATCAAACACAGTATGAATAGAATATCATTGTAATATAACAGAATTTTAACCGAAAACTATTAAAAAAACGAGCAACGTCTCAAGAACATCGGAAGCTTAGGTAAAGTCTTTTGTTTTCGTCATGTATTTTATCCTATTTTACATTAAAATACGTCACGTTTCCGCAAAACTACTATTTATTTCCGAGAATATATTCATTCAGGCACAGTTTAGGTAAAATATACGTGTGATGTAATAGTTTTTTAACTGAAAACGATTCGAAAAACACGTACCCTCTAGCCCTGTTCAAAGAGAGGACTGGGAGAAGCTGTTTGGTGCTGCAGACGATGACAAGGAAAATGATTTTGATGGATTTTAATGAAAATATTCAGAAATATGGTATCGTAATATTTATTCAAGTCAATTAGGATAGAATATTATTGTAATACAACTGTTTTTGAACTGAAAACCATTTGAGAAGCTATTACGGTAACATCTTTTGAACGAAAGAAAGCGAAAGTCATTGTTTTCGTTACGATTTTATCCCACTTTCCACTGTAATACGTACGTTCAGCAAAAATATTACATTTCCGTGAATGCATTATATCAAGCAAAGTATGAATAGAATACCATTGTAATATAACAATATTTTGAGTCCTACTCTTTCCATTTACAGAGTACTGTACAAGCCCATAATAATGGCTCCTAAAGTAGATAAACTTCGTTGTGTGAAGAGAAAGAAGAACACGGTGAAATTGAGTGACAAACTTGAAATAATTAAGAAACTAGAACGTGGTGTGAGCAATACTGTTCTAATGGAAACATACGACATTCGAATGTCTACAATTTATGATATATAAAAGGCAAAGAATAAAATTTAGAACTCACAGCTTTTTCTTTAAAACTGCTCGTTTTGATAAATGAAGCATGCTATATTTGCTAATGAATAAACTATCAAAATGTACCTGTTCATCTCTTCTTTATTCTTCCTTAAATTTGAATTTTAAAAGTACTGCCTGAGAATCCGGAAAATCCGAAAATCCGGACGGACCCAATCCCCAAGCAGTCCGGATTTTTGGACTTCTACTGTACTGTATATGTGTGTGTGTGTGTAGACACACACACACACACACACAAAACATACAAATAAATAATAATTGGAAAATCCTCTCACAATTAATCAGAAACAAATTCATTAACAATGTGAGTCTACCCTCAAGTTCGTGTTTTATTACTTTATTAATAAAGCACGGAATTTAGGGAAGACTGTCACATCTTTAATAAATTTGTTTCTGATTATTTGTGAGAGGATTTTCCAATTATTATTTATTTGTATGTGTTTTGTGTGTGTGTGTCTACACACACACGCATACACACACACATTTACAATACAGGTAAAGGAAATTACTGTCTCTAGAGCAAATGGCTCTCTGTCCCAGCCGCGAAAATGCCGTAAACTTTATAACTACCCACAGACATTCCTGGGTACATCCAGGGTGTCATCCGCGTCCGCGAATAATAGAGGACCGTGAAATAAAATTTGCGAACTTGGGGGGGGCCTCTGTATTGGTGATAGTGAGGTTGTGTGCAGCACACTTGCTGAGGAGGAGTAGGCCATTGGGATTACACTTACCGAGTCCATTTCTCAGTATGATTCCCTGCCATATGTCAGCATATCTGCCAGCTCTGGCATTGAAGTCACCAAGGAGCACAACCTTATCTTCTCTGGGGATAGAGGTTAGCACTCTGTCAAGATCAGCATAAAAGGCCTCCTTGATGTCATCCTCTGCATCCAGTGGGACTCGGAGCGTCATGAGGTGCTTGTTGATCCCAACAGGTATTTCAGTTAGCCTATGTAGGATGCATTGGCGGTTGGTAGAGCCAACTCCATAAATGTGGTTTCTCTCCACAGCAGTCTTACCCTTCCAAAAGAAGGTACAGTAGCCAGGCCCCTGTTCTGTGAGTTGACCCTCATCTAGGAGCCGCGACTCACCAATGGCTGATTTTTTTTATTTGATTTTATTATTTATATATTTTTTCATTATTAATTTTTTTCTAGTGCAGTATACTGAATGCCGTTCATGTCCTGTCTGTCCACTGTTGGTTCACGCTAAGAGCCACAGCCCAGATACATTCCTGTTCATGTCCTGTCTGTCCACTGTTGGTTCAGGCTAGGAGCCACAGCCCAGATACATTCCTGTTCATGTCCTGTCTGTCCACTGTTGGTTCACGCTAAGAGCCACAGCCCAGATACATTCCTGTTCATGTCCTGTCTGTCCACTGTTGGTTCACGCTAAGAGCCACAGCCCAGGTACATTCCTGTTCATGTCCTGTCTGTCCACTGTTGGTTCAGGCTAGGAGCCACAGCCCAGATACATTCCTGTTCATGTCCTGTCTGTCCATTGGTGGTCCAGAGACTCCAAACTGAGTTGCCAGTGTTCCTAAAGATAACATATTTCAAAGCTTAATATATTACACAGAAAAATCATAATAAACTGATATTATTATGACATAACTTTAAATCACGGCATAAAGTTATACAAAGATTTTCTTTAATAACCCTTCAAATTTCTTTTTGTTAACCCTTTGACGATTTTTTTTTTTTTTTTTTTTTTTTTTTTTTTGCAAAAAAAAATTGATTTAGTCAAGTGGTTAAAACAAATTGATTTAATCAATGCCAACCCTGTACCACACTACCGAGCAAATAGAAAAACAGTAGGATCCAACCCTCTCTACCAAAGAATGGGCTTCCACCTTAATGACTGTATTTGCAGTAGTTTCCCTCACTTCCAAAAGTGCTTGTCTGACTTGCACTGTCTGGTATCTTACTGCCTTTATGCTTTTTACCTTTTTCTCCCACCTGGTTTCTGACCATGATTTCAGGGTGGTTTTGACATGTTTTAAAAGGATAGTCCATCTTTAGGTGGAGCCTGAAAACAGTGTGAAGAGTTTCATCAAATATCCAAAGTAGCCAGTGGCATCTGGAGAACTCTAAGCAGCATCAGCGACCAGTAGATTTAACATATGAGCCCCACATGGAACATATAAGACCCTTGAATTCTTGCTGAAGCAGCCCAGCTTGAACACCTTTATTCTTTCCCCTCATGTTGGCACCATTGTTATACGACTGCCCTCTGCAATCCTCAAAGGGGATGTTTAACTCCTCTAGCCTTTTAAGAATGAGGGATGACAAACTTGCTCCAGTTGACTCCTCTGCCACAAGGAACCCCATGAAATGTTCCTTTATTTGTGGCGTGTCTTCCAGTGACACAGTCCTAATGACAGAGAGCTGTTCCTTGTGACTCAGATCAGGTGTGCAATCTAAAATGATGGAGAAATACTTTGATTTCTTCCACCATTTTTCTAATATGTTTCCACTGATGGCATTTATTAGCTCATTTTGAAATCTTTTGCCAAGATAATGAATGTGATTACCTACTCCAATTTCCACCTTACTAACATGCTGCTTCATAACTAAACCAAATTTGGCCACAAGCTCCACTTCTTTGAGAAAATTGCCGTTGTGTGGTTTGTTAAGTGTGTCTATGGACCCCCTTAAAGGCATATTTCTCTCAGCTAAAGACTGAAGTATTGCCACCAGCAAGTGCCATCTCTTGTTGATCTATTGTTTTCCCCTTTGCAAGGTGAACCTCCAGTTCCTTCCATGTTGCCATATGTGTGGTATGTTCCGAGCTATTTTCGTGCGTCTTGATCAAGTGGCTGGCATTTTTCCCATCCCTGAATCTACTTTATTCTATTTGAAATTCTTCTGAGAAAACATTTTACAACAGAAGCAGTAAAGACTGTCATTTTCTTAAAATACATTAGCCAGCTTCTTTTGATTTTTTCTCCATTGACAAAGACTCTGTTGAAATACTCATGATAACATCTCCCATCTTTTTGGCTTGGAAAAGTGAAACTTTGCTTAATCTGATATGGTCCCCTTCGAACAAGCTCTGTACTCATCTGATGTATCTCACCAGACTGTGGAATGGACAGGGTAGCTTGACACTGTCATTGGACTGTATAGAGATGGAAAGGAAAGAGGAGCTGGCTTTGTGTCACTGGGCTGTGCAGAAGTGGGAGGGACAGGGGAGCTTGACACTGTCATTGGACTGCATAGAGATGGAAGGAACAGGGGAGCTTGACACTGTGTCACTGAGCTGTGCAGAAGTGGAAGGGACAGGGGAGCTTGACATTTGTGTCACTGGGCTGTGCAGAAGTAGAAGGGACAGGGGAGCTTGACACTGTGTCACTGGGCTGTGCAGAAGTAAAAGGGACAGGGGAGCTTGACACTGTGTCACTGGGCTGTGCAGAAGTAGAAGGGACAGGGGAGCTTGACACTGTGTCACTGGGCTGTGTAGAAGTAGAAGGACAGAGGGAGCTGACACTGTGTCACTGGGCTGTGCAGAAGTGAAGAGAGAGGAGCTTGACACTGTGTCACTGGGCTGGCAGAGAAGGGACAGGGCTTGACACTGTGTCACTGGGCTGTGCAGAAGCAGAAGGGACAGGGGAGCTTGACACTGTGTCACTGGGCTGTGCAGAAGTAGAAGGGATAGGGGAGCTTGACACTGTGTCACTGGGCTGTGCAGAAGTAGAAGGGACAGGGGAGCTTGACACTGTGTCACTGGGCTGTGCAGAAGTAGAAGAGACAGGGGAGCTTGACACTGTGTCACTGGGCTGTGCAGAAGTGGAGAGGGTGTTTGCAGGTGGCACAAGATTTCCAGGGGGAGGAGGTCCAAAATATTTCAGAAGTGCATCTGAAACAACGAACAATAGGGCTGTGTGACCATTATGCATTACATGATAACAAAGCAGTTCTAACTTGACAGTTAAACCCAGCAATAATAGCCTATGCCATTACATATAGTCTGTAACATTATAATACAATATGACAGTTCAGCCCAGTAATAATAACTCACTGCCTATACCAAGAGTCCACGGTGCATTGCATGTCAAATGACAAACTCGGCAATAAAAATAAAAACCCAGTAATAATAGCCTATGCCTGTAACATAATAATAAAAAATCACAAATTTAAAGAGATCTAATTTTAAAGGAATACAGTCGGCCCTTCACATACGCGGGTTTAGCATACACGGATTCGCAAATACGCGGATTGCCCCGCCGGAGGAATATTCTGTACAGTACATTGAAGCAATTGAAGTACATTCAAATCGCGCGCGGCACCCCACACTGCCCGCCACACACATACACACACACACACACACACACACACACGCACGCGCGTCACGTCACGCCACGCCACCCCGCGCTCCATCACTCAGTCAGTCTCGCTGTAACCACGCTTGTGTTGACATCAGCATTGTAGGTCGACCCTGATTTTTTGACCAAAATATTTTTAATATATGATATTCCTTGTTTATAGGTCGACCCAAGTTTTTGAGGGTATTGGAACAACAAAACCTTCAGTAAAAACACTCTACGTCCTATAAACTGAGGCTCGCCGTGCCCGAAACACAGAGTGCCGAAGGCAAATTGTTTACCATTTATTATTACAACACTTTACACTGAAATGCGGGTAGTTTCAACAAAAATATTGTATATTTCCATTCAAGTATTTATTCAAGTCAATGAGGAGGGAATATTATTGTAATACAACAGTTTTTTAACTGAAAACCAGTACTGTACACTAATGTACAACAATTTTTATCTCTTGAGCAAAATATATGACGTTTATATTCAAATTATTGGCTGTCTTGCAAGGATTCCAGCAATGCAAATTATAATCTCCTAACTTTGGTCTGAGATATTATATGAGATAAAAACTGTAAGCCTAAATAAACCCCCAGCTGAGCAGATGGGGAGGGAGGGACGGAGCCAGCCAGCCAGTGAGGGGTGGGGGGGGGGGTTGAGGTGATATGTTTGACAGTTTGAGCCGAAGGTCTCTGTGTTAACAATCTCACTTCTCCCATTTTAAAATGCCAGTGAAATGACCTGGGAGAATATAATTCACTTTGCTGGATTCTTGCTAACATACTGATTAATTTGAATAGCATTATGCTCCTAATTTGCTCTAGGCATAACAATTTTAGTACCGTAATGAAATTAGTACATGTACACTCCAGCTTTGCACTAAGGTCATTTATTTCTTTTAGTACGGTGTGTTCATGTAAATGTATGAAAATAAATGAAGAATTTTATGTAAATCTACCCAAAAATACAGTTGAAAACTTTATACTGTATTATAAAATGTACTACACAGTATTGTACACTAATGTACTACATTTTTATATCTTGAGCAAAATATATGACGTTTATATTCAAATTATTGGCTGTCTTGCAAGGATTCCAGCAATGCAAATTATAATCTTTTAACTTTAGTCTGAGATATTATATAAAATAAACACCTTAAAGAATAAAGTTATCACCAATCTTTTGTCTGGGAACACAAGGAGGCAGGTAGCCAGCGAGCATGGGGGGCGGGAGGTGAGGTGACAGAGTGTGGTGTTTGTTTATTTATTTGAGATAAGATTTGACAGTTGGCGTTGAAGGCCTGTGTGTTTATTTATCATTACTTAAGAGTGACTAAGCTCTTCTCATAATTTGCCACCCAAACGACCTGGGTGAATATAACTTACATTGCTGGGATTCTTGTAAGATAGTGATTTATTTGAATACCTGTATAAACAATCTATATTTGCAATAGACATAACAATTTAAGTTCCGTAATCATTTAGTACATGTACAGTACAGGTTTGTTCCACGGTAAAATCTTTTGAACAATGAAAGAAAGCAAAAGTCATTGTTTTCGTCATGATTTTATCCCACTTTCCACTGTAATACGTACATCATTTCAGCAAAAATATTACATTTCCATATTTATTTCTGAGACTATATTCCTTTAGTCACAGTTAAGGTAAAATATACCTGTGATGAAATATTTTAATGAAAATACCCGGTATTTAGAAATACGGTATCGAAGTTTTCTTTTGTTTCAAATTTAATTAACAAAGATTGATGTTTCAAATGTAATGAACAAAAATTTATGTACAGTATCTATAAATAAACTTTAAAAAATGAATACAGTTGTGCCAACCGCGGTTTTCATAATGTGATTTCTACCCTTATCATGAGTCTTTCATGAAACCGAACTTTCATAGCAGGTTCATCTACTCATATCATGAAGCTTAGCGGGCACGTCTGCGCTGGAGTAAGCCCAGTCATCAAAACATTACCGGGTTCTTCACCCGTCACCCACCACAGCCGGCCCAAGTCAGTGATAAGTGATAATTATAGTGAGGATATGGACTTATATGGACTTTGAGGGTTTGACAAAGAGGCCCTGCAAGCGCTGTGGTGGATAGTGATACAGACTGATACAAGTGATACAGGTGAGGGGCCAATAATCTGCCACTGCCTCGGAACCAACCCCCCATCGTGTGCCCAGCCATGCTACATGTATGAAGTGTTAAAAAACCTAATATTATTGATATTTCTCTTAATTATTAATTGTGTGTGCATACCATCATAAAGTTAAGATAATATTTTTACTACAACATAGTTGTGTGTCGTCAAAAAGTGGACTTTGGGGGTCGGGCCAGTCTCTATTGGAATTAATCCCATATGTTCTGTTGTTCACTTAACGCGGTTTTCACTTAACGCGGTACCCTGTGGGTTCAATTGGCCGCGTTAAGCAGGGTACAACTGTATTAAGTGTGAAATATCGAAAAGGTTTTTATTACCGGTATTTTTTGTAGATCATTGAGTACATGTACTGTGATACCGTATGTGATATGATAAGTTAACCTGTGCTAAGAACTTCAACACAGACTACTGAAAGCACTTTGTAAGGTAATTTAGCCTATTGTAAGTTGGTGAGCTTCATCTGCTGAAGGCACTGCACAGCTTTTCATTACTAATTGGTACATATTTTACATTTCCATTGTTCACTGGCAGTAAATGGTAAATATTTTTCATGTCTGAAGCTAAAAGTTAATCCTTGTCCTTCCCATCATGCGCGGATCCAACCTAACAAAACTATTACCCATGTAGAGGTCGACCCCCAATTTTTCATTGTTAAGTGGTTGTATTTTGGGGCCTGGAACGGATTACCCCTATAACGAACGAACGCTATAACGAACAAGGTTCTAGAACCAATTTCAGTCGGCCCTTAACATACGCCGGGGTTAGGTAACAGAGATACCCGTGAATGTTAAAAATCCGTGTACTATTGCTGCCTCCCCCTAAAAAACCCTGGCGCCCCATGTCCTTCAGCAGCACCAACATCAGCACTAGCTGCCTCTCTACTCACCTTAACATTGTGTAGACTGTAGCATTTTTTAAATCTATTAAACCACCCATGACTTGCTGTAAAGGTTTGCTCACATTCATCTCTTGCTTGCTCCTTCAGGCTTTGGAACTGGCTTCTTGCTTTAGCCTGTAAGGTTAGAAGGCTTAAGGTACACGCTTCTGTATCTGGTCTTCTATCCATATCACCAATAATTTTTCCATATCATGAATAGGACCTTGTCTTTTCTTTGAAATTATAGTTCCCTTTATAGGTGTTGTTCTTTTCACTACATCACGAATACCTTTTCTTTG